AGGCTGCTTGTCTGCGCGGCTTCTCGCTTGGGCTGGCGCTGCCGCGTCTGGGTTGCGGTATAGGATTTACTGGCAGAAGATAAAAAGTGCCTCAAGCAAAACAAAGCAGGATCAAGCTGAACCGGCAGGTACACAGTCCACAGCGAGAAGCTGCACAATCACACACAAAACACAAGCCCGAAAAGAACCAGCACTGCTGGCACCCAGACGCGGCAGCGCCAGCCCAAGCGCGAAGCCGCGCAGACAAGCAGCCTAAGGGTCAAGCAATCAAGCAACAAGCAGCAGGAGCATGCAGGAGGAATAAAATCCCTTAGACGCGATACCCGGAGGCAGCCGACTGACCACTGTCAGTCGAGACGTCCGCTGCCGCCACAAAGCGGGCGGCCGCGGACGGAGAAAGGGCAGCCGCCGACAAGGAGCCGGCGTTACCCGGGGGTCCGCCTGGGGCAGCGGACGGAGGGAGGCTGGACACATGAACACGGTACCGCTCGAGGTAGTCCTCCTCGCTAGCCTCCGAGTCAGCGGTAGCCAAGTCAGTGGTAGCCGCCCGTGACGGCGGCGACGCCGCGGCAATGCCCAAGGACCGGCGTGACCCGACCGATGCCGGGGAGGAAGCAGGCGAGCTCGGACCAGCAGCAAGCACCCCAGTGGTGTCGAGCTCTCCGGAGGCACCCGACGTCACAGTGAGGGACGGAGACGCCTCGCCAGCTCCGCGCCGATCGTCGGGGCCACTCGAAGGGTGTCCCCCATCGGAGTCGGAGACCTCCGGCGAAGACTCCTCGGGCGACTCGACAAAGTCCGAGGAGGAGCTGTCCTCTGGCTCGAGAAGTGCTTGCGCCCGCAAGGGCGTCATGCGCCTCGCACCAGACAAGAGCGCTTCCAGCGTCAGCTGCATGGTGAGGCGCTGATAGGTGGCGGCGCGTTTGCGAGCCAAGACCTCAGCAGCAGGTCCGTCATCAGGCACGAAGTGCCGACCAAACGCCGCATCCTCAAGAGGCATCGAGCGCTGAGCAATGATGTCCGCCAAATACCAGATGAAGCGGAGGGTGTCAGGATGCAGGGTACCGTCCGTCGAGATGGCAAGAGGGATGAACGCTCGAGGAGGAGTAGTCATGGCATATGCAGCGCGATGTTTGCGAATCTTCTCAGACGCTGCAACATGGAGGGCGTCGAGGTTGACCTCCCCCCACTTGGTCAGGTACAGGTCGGCAGAGCTACCAATGTAAGGGTGGACCAACGTCACGTCCGCCATCAAGCCCTCGTACTGCTCGGACCCTCGATCGCGGATTCCAGGAATGTGGATATCGCCCTTCATCTTGCGGCCATGAGGATGGGAGGGTACCTGCCGTCGAGAACGAGGATCCCCCACTGTATCGATGACGCTCTGAAGACCAGCTTCGTTCAGCATCGACCGAATCGTACGAGTAAGGTTGTCATGCGCCGTGGGAAGCTTGGAGGATCGGCGTTTGCAGGTCTGGAGATGATGTGCAGCAACGGAGGGATCGAGCTCGCGCTGACATCCATCACATTTTGTCGGACACTGGCAGATCGGCATGCCATGGAGATAGCAGTCGAGCATCTGAGCATAGCGGTGCGGGAAGGCCTTGAGGGGGTAGTAGCTCGAGACTCGCATCGGAGAGTGGCTCAGGTCTCGCTCAGGAAAATGAGCGAAGATGGTAGACTGCAAGACCCTATCCTGCGACTTGAGCGAGTGTGTCCTGCGGCTGTGCAAGGTGAGGATATCACGCTGCTGATCGGTCAGCGCAGCGCGAGCATGCACATGGCGAGGGAAGACGCGCATGACAAGAGGAGTCACATTTCGCTGCGCAGGGGGAGGAATGAAGTGCTCATGAGACGAGTCGACGAGAGCGCGCAAACCAGGGATGTGTACCACAGATGCCGGGGGGCGTCCTGCGTCATCAGGCACAGCAGCCGGGGCAGGTGGGATCGCCGCGCCATCTGCAGCCGGTGCAGGAGCCTTGACACGACGGTAGAGGATCGCTCCAGCATTATGAACGAAGTCGTGCGCCTCAACGAAGAAGGTCGCCAGAGGATGCTTCTGGGCACGGAGAGATCTCGAGCAGTGAACGTCCAGGCTATGAGGAGAGGGCAAGGTCCGGGACATCGGCTGGTCAGAGTACCAAGCGAGGAAGCGAGCGATAGCTGTATAGTAAACAGCGGGGTGTAGACCCTCAGAGGGCGTGAACTCGTCCCCTCCTCGACTATGCGGAAGCTCCCGCTTGAACCTCGCAAACTCTAGCAGGTCGGGATGCGCGGCAAGGTACTGCGAGGAAGGCCAGCGGTGGTATTTCTCAAGCGCCAGGTGGACAGAGAGGTCAAAGCGACGAATCTGTGATTGGACCCGCGGGAGAAACGGAGAAGACCCCTGGAGGAAGAAGCGCAGCTTCTGGAGATGGCTCGCCCTCACCAGCGTCTTGAACATGAAGCCATGCTGGACGAGCCCGAGCTTCGAGAGCTCTTCGTTGAGGGTAGAAACCTTCGCTCGGAGCTGACTAGCATGAAATCCATCCGTGCCGATAGGCAGGCCGCCAAGTGTAATCCCGCCAGTGACGACCTCGAAGTGAAGAAGTTGACTGGGTGCCAGCAGTGCTGGTTCTTTTCGGGCTTGTGTTTTGTGTGTGTTTGTGCAGCTTCTCGCTGTGGACTGTGTGCCTGCCGGTTCCGCTTGTTCCTGCTTTGTTTTGCTTGAGGCACTTTTTACCTTCTGCCAGTAAATCCTATACTGGCATATGCAGCGCGATGTTTGCGAATCTTCTCAGACGCTGCAACATGGAGGGCGTCGAGGTTGACCTCCTCTGCCAGTAAATCGGATCTATACCTCCTCCCACTTGGTCAGGTCGGCAAACAAGCAGCAGGAGCATGCAGGAGGATAAAATCCCTTAGACGCGATACCCGGAGGCAAACACACACAAAACACAAGCCCGAAAAGAACCAGCAGCCGACGCGCCCACTGTGACCTCGGACGTCGGATGCCGGAGAGCTCGACACCACGATCCTCCAAGCTTCCCACGCACTTTTTATCTTCTGCCAGTAAATCCTATAAGTTACTGTTCACGACGCATGACAACCGTACCCTGCATCCTGACACCCTCCGCAGCCTCCCTCCGTCCGCTGCCCCTGGCGGACCCCCGGGCAGCGCCGGCTCCTTGTCGGCGGCTGCCCTTTCTCCGTCCGCGGCCGCCCGCTTTGTGGCGGCAGCGGATAGGATTTACTGGCAGAGGGTAAAAAGTGCCTCAACGGACGTCTCGACTGACAGTGGTCAGTCGGCTGCCTCCGGGTATCGCGTCTAAGGGATTTTATTCCTCCTGCATGCTCCTGCTGCTTGTTGCTTGATTGCTTGACCCTTAGGCTGCTTGTCTGCGCGGCTTCGCGCTTGGGCTGGCGCTGCCGCGTCTGGGTGCCAGCAGTGCTGGTTCTTTTCGGGCTTGTGTTTTGTGTGTGTTTGTGCAGCTTCTCGCTGTGGACTGTGTGCCTGCCGGTTCAGCTTGTTCCTGCTTTGTTTTGCTTGAGGTTGTATAGGATTTACTGGCAGAAGGTAAAAAGTGCCTCAAGCAAAACAAAGCAGGAACAAGCTGAACCGGCAGGCACACAGTCCACAGCGAGAAGCTGCACAAACACACACTTGAGGCACTTTTTACCTTCTGCCAGTAAATCCTATAACTACAACCATATAACCTTACTCGTACGATTCGGTCGATGCTGAACGAAGCTGGTCTTCAGAGCGTCATCGATACAGATACAGTCGGGGATCCTCGTTCTCGACGGCAGGTACCCTTCCCATCCTCATGGCCGCAAGATGAAGGGCGATATCAAACCCCCTGGAATCCGCGATCGACGCGACGCCCTCCATGTTGCAGCGTCTGAGAAGATTCGCAAACATCGCGCTGCATATGCCATGACTACTCCTCGAGCGTTTATCCCTCTTGCCATCTCGACTGCAGGAAGATTTACTGGCAGAAGGTAAAAAGTGCCTCAAGCAAAACAAAGCAGGAACAAGCTAAACCTCCGGGCACACAGCGCACAGCGAGAAGCTGCACAAACACACACAAAACACAAGCCCGAAAAGAATCAGCCCAAGCGCGAAGCCGCGCAGACAAGCAGCCTAAGGGTCAAGCAATCAAGCAACAAGCAGCAAGCCGAGAGGATGCGGCGTTTGGTCGGCACTTCATGCCTGATGACGGGGCTGCTGCTGAGGTCTTGGCTCGCAAACGCGCCGCCACCTATCAGCGCCTCACCATGCAGCTGACGCTGGAGGCGCTCTTGTCTGGTGCGAGGCGCATGACGCCCTTGCGGGCGCAAGCACTTCTCGAGCCAGAGGTCAGCTCCCGAGTCCTGGCACTTTTTACCTTCTGCCAGTAAATCCCTCATACGCTCTCCTCGGACTTTGTCGCACGGTCGCCCGAGGAGGAGTCTTCGCCGGAGGTCTCCGACTCCGATGGCTCAACGGTGATGTACTGGCAGAAGGTAAAAAGTGCCTCAAGCAGAACAAAGCTGGCAGATCGGCATGCCATGAAGATGGCAATGAAGTTAGCAGTCGAGCATCTGAGCATAGCGATAAGGGGATAGTAGCTCGAGGCTCGCATCGGAGAGGCTCAGGTCCCGTTCAGGAAAATGAGCAAAGATGGTAGCACGAGCATGGACACGGCAAGGAACTCGGAAATATCCGCATGACAAGACGAGTCACATTGCGCTGCGGGCCGCAGGCGGAGGAATGAAGTGAGTAAACGAGCGCGCGCAGACTCAGGAGTAAAACTTCTTTACCTGGCACAGCAGTCTTATGTTTCGTGTGTTTGAGCCGCATTTGTTGCTGCCAGTGTTCCGGGCCCAGTGACTCGCAGAAGGTAAAAGGTGCCTCAAGCAGAAGAAAGCAGCAACGTCAGGCAGAGAGCACAGAGCAACAAAGCGGTGTACGGAACACAGTTCGCTGCGAAGGCGGAGACACTTCTTACCTTGGACTGTTTCCTGCCGACTCGGAGGCTGTGCGGCCTGATGAGTGCAGGACTCAGGAACAAGCAAGACCGGCAGGCATAGAGCACAGAAGAAGTCAGCCTACGGTACCACGCGGACTCCTCAGAATAGTAAACAGCTAGGTGTTGAGTTTTACTCGCAGACCGTCATGCATAGAGGGCGCAACCTACCTAGGGGGTATGCCAGAAGTTCCCACTTGAACCTCGCAAACTCTGCGCGGGAGGTCCTGCTGAAAGTTTTACCTCCGAGCCTAAGCCTGGGGGGGTAAACGCCGGAACGAGGATGTGCTGGTATTGCATCAAGCAGAAGAAAGCGACGCACAAGCAGGGACTGCTATGCCTCACTGCCAGTCGGACTGAGCCCAGCCAGCCTGGCAGTCCGGACTCCTTATGCCGAGGCCCGGCCCGGAGGCCCGCCCGGACTCCGAGGCTCGGGACTGGGATAGGCCGGACAGGCTACTGAGTGAGTCACGCTACTGAGTAGTAGGTCCGATCCGATGAGTTTTGAATTTGAAAATGCAGGACGACCCGATGATGATGATGATGATGGTGGTGGTGGTGATGATGATGATGATGATGATGATGGTGATGATGATGGTGATGATGATGATGATGATGATGATGATGAGGATGATGATGATGATGATGATGATGATGATGAACTTTGAGGAAGCAGGACCAGGCCAGCACAAATCATCTCAAGTGAAGAAAGCGTATTCACGAATGAGAGGCGCAGCAATTTGAATAGAGAAAGTCGAGAAACGAGGATTGAGCAGTCATCGCAAGGGCTGACATGTTACTGCTTTTCAAGGGCTTGCTTGGATGGTTGAGAAGCTAAGGCACTTGTAGTCATCCTAGGATGCTATCAGCCTCACGACCAAACACTCCCAGGAGCCGCAGTTCCTGGTTGCGAGCTCCCAACATTCAAGACCTCCTAGGCACCTCCAGGGCGACATACTCCCCGCCCCAACATGTATCTTTCCGACCCATGTTGACAGCAGACGACAAAGAAAATGAGGACATCCATAATGCAAACACAATTAAGGCTTCGCATCAGAAGAACATGTCAACCAGGTCAAACATCGAGAAGCTGGACATGAAGAGCAATGATAAGAGGAGTGACGGGGACAAGGATAAGTACAAAGACATGAGCTTTGATTCCAGTCACCTGTCAGATTCGATGCATGAGAAGAAGCTTCGTGCTCAAGCGTCTGATCGACATGACCAGTACATGCGGCGGCTGCACAAACTTTCATTGATGAGACCCCTGGTGCCTCGAGAAGCAGGAGACTCAGACCACAGGCTGCACGAGCAACAGAGCCTCGCAACCGCGCTTCCTCCGCACAGCTTGTCAAAGATGCGACCCGATGATCATGTAAAGCCTTCGCTCTCAAATCTGCCAAGTGAGCCGAACAGAGAAGCTGAGGAGTTACTCCAACTGAAAGAAAAATGTCAATCACTGCAGAAACAGCTCGAGCTTGCAGAGCAATCGAATAAAAATCTGCAGATTAGATTGAGTGACATGACAGAGATGTATGCCATGCTTCAGGTGGTGAAGATAGGGTTCGTCTACTAGTTTTGAATCTCATCTTTGCAGAATCGAAGAAGAGAGTCTCTGATAAGGATATCATCTTCAAGATGTCGAAGTAGAGCTCTGATCAGAGCGTTCAGCCAATGGAGTTGGATGGTATTGCATTTGAGGTTGAGCATGGCAAGGGACTGATTCGATGCAGGTCGTCCTTAAGGACACAAGCGTTCAACACGCACCACATCAAGACTCCAACGAAGACGAGGGAGATCAGGTAGCTTGCTCCGATCTATGGCAGTGAGTTTCACTCTTGACCATTTGTTGCATGGTTGTCGGTCTTGCTGTACAGCACTCTGAGAATGATTTGCATAACATATTGAATTCGATTGAAACAACCACGTCATCCTTAGAGACATGCCTGCGATCGATGAGTGACAAAGAAGGTATTCAAATCTTGTATGCTTTTAATCTGAGATGGAGAGAAGATTCAAGGTCGAATCTCTCGGAGAAAAGATTTCAATCTGTAAGTGTAGTCCTCGAAATACTTGAGAAGGAGAAGAACGCCTTGGAGCTCAGGCTTGCAGAGCAAGAAAGCAGACTTGTCATGGAGCAAGTTGGCTTTGACTCGGTGCATGCGAGTGTTGCTGACACCTTGAACTGCAGGACTCTTGTCAAAAACTAGTTGTTTTGCTCAGCGAGAAAAATTCGGAGATCTCTGACATGCAATCCATAGTACATCAAGTAGAAGAGAGAGCGCAAGAGGCTCGCGAGGCAGCCTCCTCTTACCAAATTCAAATGAAAGAGCAACAAGCCCTTGTCGAGGTCAGCTCCGTGTGTTTCGATGTCTAGATTCTAAATTGTGGGCAGAGATTTTACACGACTCAAGGACTATCTTACAAGGATGTACTTGATTTTGAGAAAGAAAAGTACAAACTGGAGGTAAGAATCGAAGAATTGCAGGAACAGTTGCAAAAGGTCCGCGTGAAAGATAAAATCCGAGTTTTCGAAGCTTCACCCAGAAATCCGTTCAACACAGAAAAGCAATCAAATCAGACTGAACAAGATTTGTTGCCCCAAAATGTTGAGAAATTCTTGCACAAGGTGATAGCATACAATGCACGAAAGCATTCAAGACTTATTCAGCTACGTCACTTGTTTCATTGGTATCTGTTTGTTGTGAGGAATAGCATCTCAATCAAAGGAGGAAGAAGTGCACTCGATCCCCTCAAACGGATCGACGAGCTTGGCATTGAGCTCAAGTCGTTGAAGGAGATGTTGGAAAGAGAAAAGAACGGAGCCAGACAAACAGCTAAGGACCGAAGACAAGACCTGCGCCCACAAGCCTTTGAAAGTTTGCTTGCTGATGACAGCACTCTCGTCACTGTCAGCTCGCTCTCTTTCTCTACCTTTCACTCCGACTGGTCTCCCGTTCAGTCTCAGGCGGATCTGTCACATCCGGATGCCTCGGTCGACGAGCAGGTGCTGCTCGTCTCTTTTCCCTCGCCCGCCTCAACGGCTCATCAGGCTCGATCGCTCACCAAACGTTTGGCCTACTTCTTGCTTCGGCTCTGTGAGTTTCAAATCTCGATGGGCAAGGCAAACATCTTCGCCAGCGCCTGCTGGGAATTTGCAAACCTGATCCGAAAGAACGAGGTAAGAATTGATGGCTGTCACAAAAGAATGATGATGTGCGTAGAGCTTCGATGGATCTGATTTCTTCAAACGTTTTGGCCTCTACATGATGATGAAGACATGGAAATCAGCAGTCAACGGAGTTTCGAGGAGCTGCTCAACAGATGAGTTGGAAGTCTCTACCAACAGGATCCTCTTCAAGGAAAGCGATGCTTCTATGATGTGCTGTACGCACGAAGAAACTTGCGATTTGTCGGGCGTGGAGTTTTCCACAGGAATACGACTGTCATGCAAGATATCAAGAGCAGGCAACGAGGGGCACAGACTTGTGGTAGACGACGAGCGTGCAGAGCGTCACAAGAGTCGAGACAAGGTGAGCTGTTTTCCCCGCCTCCTCCCCCATTCCTTTCCCCCTCCCCCTACTCCTCCTCGACTCTTGGCCTGACAATTCTCGCAGATGTTTCTCCAGGTGGGCTGTGACCCGCGAACGGTTGAGAATCGATTCTTCGACGTGGACGCATTACGAGAAGGTCTGCTGGTCTGCCGGTGCAAGGATCTGAATGCTGGGGCAGCTTGTGACGGCGCGGCACTCTACCGCACATGCTCGCTCGAGCTGACGTCGGATGAATTGCCGTCAGTCCCTCCCTTGCACTTAGGCAGCTGACAAGCAATGCAGGACGCAAGAGATCAAGCAGTGGGCGCCGGACTCCAGTGACCAAGAGGCGAGCAGAGCTGAGTTGCCTTGGACCAGGACAAGCCGGCATAAGTGCAGCGAGGAGGAGAAAGGAAGCCAAGCTTTGCCTCTCCAACCTTTCATCGAGTTCAATCATGAAAATTCGAGAGACTTTGAGATCGAAGGATTACAGGAAAAGAGCTCGGATGCAGCTGCGAGAAGCAACTCAAGCTTTGATTCTGACGCTTCAGATGTCAGCACTACATTATTTTTTTGAAAGAAATCGATCTCAATGGAATTTGCGCTACACGCAGACTCACTGACTTCATACCAGTAACATTACCTGTCTTGGCGTCTCGAACCCTAAGTTAAGCCTGACATCGCCAAGATCTTCTTTCTCGGCGACTTTCAAATTTCGCTCGCCCCTCTCACCGCCCATGACTCGTTGGAGTAGCAGGAAGAGGCTTTCAGTCTGAGCTCGAGCTTGAGTAGCCTCCCAGCAGTCCCGCCAGCTCTGTCTTCTGCCCCTTTGCCGACCCTTCGCCATCCGCTGCTTCTTCCGCCTTTCGCTTCACCAGAACCCCAGCAAGGCGTTTAGGCTGCGCCTGCACGCCTCCAGTGATAGCAGCTTTCGTGGCAGCCATAACGAGCTCGCGTTCGCGCTCTCGCGCCTTTTCCTCATCCTCGCTGATCCTGCGGACATTCTTCTCGAACTCTGTCTGCTCAACAAGCTCTTCCTCCTGCTCGAGCAGACTGAGTTAACATACGTGAAAGAGAAAAACTCACCTCGTCATCGAGCTCGATCTTATCACGAGCATCACCACTCTCCTTCCATCAAAGTTAGACAGCAAGCGAACCACTCATCGCCACCTGCTCTTTGCGAAGTTTTTCTAAGACTTTGTCCATGTCAACCTTCTGGTGCCTAAATTGAGCCTGAGCGACAGCGGCAGTGGCATATACTGCATCGACCTTGCATTGAGAGTCTTAGCGTCGTCAAGAGCATCAAGAATGTCCATCTCAATCTAGAAGCGACATTGCCGTTACTTCAATCCTTCTCATCGCTGCTCAGCAAAACCTTGTTGTCGTGGGTCTTCTTCTCCAATGCCTTCATGACATCGTTCTCGTCCTCGTCCTCGTCTTCACCACGCCTGTCGTTCCAAACCTCGTAATTTCCTGAGATCGAGTAATCAGGAATACGAAAAAGATGAAGCAGAGCTAACTCGTAGCTCCATGCTCTAGAATGTAATCGGCATGCTCGGGATCTGTTCGGAACACGATCTCGCTGGCACAACGAGGACATTTGATGAAGAATCTAAGGGATGGAGTGAGAGGCCGCGAGGAGAAGGGAATGCAGAGGCAACCTGTGAATGTGGATACCAAGATACGTCACATCCTGAGCAATCTCCTTCTTGGAATTGAATTTCTTTCCTCGATAGCTGAACTCCTTGCACATGGAGCAGCAGCTGGAGGGACAGACAAGTCAATATGACGATGACACGAGTCGGCGGGTACAGGGTGAAGGGGATCATGATGCGAACTTCAATCTGCCGATCTCCTGCAGCTCAACCTTTGAGAAGCTCATCAAGGGGCCATGGCTCTCACGTGGCTTTCGATTCCTCGGAAGAAGAGTCGGGTCGAAGTCCGGCGGGTAGTACTTGTTCAGCACCTGCATGTCCCTGTGAGAACAAGCAGCTTAGCTCTTCTCCTCACTCACTTTACGTTCTCCCATCTTGTGCGGTGGAGCAGGTAAGGAGGCAGAGAGGAGCCGTCCAGGGAGCCTCAGGCTGCGGTCTTGAGTACTCTAGTGACGCCCGGCTCAAAGTGCCGGGCCGCAGCCCGGGCCCGCGCGATAAATTTTCGCAATGCAGCAGCGGTCAGGGAGAAGTGGAGCAGCTGTCAGAGGTGGCCGGGATCGAGTTGCCCATCATGACGTTCTTGAACGAGTTGAAGAACCTATCGGCTGTAGGCAGACCGTTGAAAGTGGTGGAGATTGTTTGCTTTACCTGTCCTGTAGGAGGCAACGAACTCTTTGGAACTAAATTCTGTGCGTCAATGCTATCAGGACATGATGAAAATTATGTCGCGACCCTTCTCCTTGGAGTAGGGTACCTTGAAGGCAGTAGCCAGTAGACTTTCGCTTCAATCTCTGATCATTACGGGAGCTCCAGGGATAGGGAAGTCTGTTTCGCGTGAATGGGGCAACTTTCCGAGACATGTTTAATCCCACCTACCATTAGCCTAATGGAGCAAGCGCGACAGTTCGATATTCTGTCTAAGCTTTACTCGTACATTCAAATAGCAGTCAGTGACGATGTGGGGATGTCTTCGAGGTTGATCCATCTGGACCCCGATGATTCATATCAGACGTTCAGGGCTCAGGTGTGCTCAAGAAAGGCAAGTGAGCTGATCTATGAGCAGCAGATGCGATCAGATTGAGATAATGTGATATATGCGATCAGATCGAGATAATGTGATATATGCGATCAGATCGAGATAAATAAATGTGATATGTCTTGCGTTCTCGAAGCTGAGCAGCCTCACCCGCCATGGCGGTGAGGCAGGGCTGGTATTCGAGGGAATCGCAAGTGATTCGAGCGAGGACACAGTGGTACCTGTTGGGGTGCTGCCATATTACGAGTTTTTGACCAACTTCAATGAGACAAGGCAGTGGCAGATCCCAGACCGTACATACTGCAAGCGCATTGACTCACTGTTGTTGTTCAAATCCAGCGGGGCGTTGTTTTTGTTGGAGATAAGAAGGGCGGAGACTCATCCGATCACACGCAAACTGTTACAGGACATACTAAAAAAAAGAATGAGATAAAGAAGGTGAAATTGATATTACCTGATTCTTTTGCCAAGCAGCCTAGTGGGCAACAAAATCAGAGTCTTCAGGGCCTGATACCAGGGAGGTTCGGCGAGTTGAAAATCGTGCAGTTTGCGCTTTTTTAGACGAAGGCAGCAGCTGAAACTCTCAAAAAGAGCGTAATGAAATGGAATGCGAATTGGCTACCAGTCAAGGATTCCGGTCGTGATCGAGAAGCCGAGAAGATCAAGACTGCTTCATCATGTTTGTAATAGGAAGCCCGGTACAGCTCGTGCATTCTCACAAGCAGATATTCACTGAACACTCTCCTCCCAAGTTTTCCAACCACCTCAGCACTTCTTGTCGTGTCTCTTCATCTTCGTTCGCACGCATCCTCCTTACACGTTGTTCGAAACGCTCTACAAGGTATTCACGTCTGCAAACCGTTTTTTGCTGTTCATCGAATTCAACCGAGCGTAGCATAGGAATGTTCCTCGTTCTACTCCCACAAAGCCACAAATCGATGTCTTCAACGTGCTTCCAAGTTCATCCAACTACATAGTATTCGGAAAAGAATCACTTTCTCCAGCCTGTGACGCTCTACCCGCTTTCATGTCAGTGTCCAACGATAATTCTTGAGCTTCTCGCATCACGTCAAAACATTCGGCTCCGTCGGGACATCTGCACTGGCCCCTGCACTTCCCATGAGCTGTATAAACTCTTTGCCGCACCTTGAACCCGAGGACTCCTCCTCTTTCACACCTTTCGCAGGCATCCCTTCGCAAACTCCTCAAAAGTGTCCTATCTTCCATTGGTCGATATGAAGCACCTCTTGGCCGCACTGAGCATGGGCACAGTGTTCTCATCTTGAAA